TATCCTGTTTTTTTTTTTGCCAAATATATAATGAAACTATTATCAACTTATATGATTAATAATATATATATTTTTATTGATATTTATGGTTTTAGAATTTTCGTTTTAATATATTAAATAATATTATTTTTTTAAACATTTTTATCTTTATATATTTGCTCCCTTAAGTTATAATTCAATAAGTGGTTAGCATTTATTTAAGTCTGAAATATTTACTGGTTGTGATTTCTCAATGTCTATGCCATTGTCTGTGGATGTATGTTTGTGTATATATCGGTGTCTATGTGTATGTAGAGTGTATTCACATTTAACTGTGTGTGTGTATAAGTGTTAGTTTCCACGTCTCTTTTTTTTCATAAAGGGCTGTGGAGATGTTCATATATTCCCCACCTCTTTTTTTTTTTTTTTTTTTTTTTTTTTTGTGTGTGTGTGTGTGTGTGTGTGTGTGTGTGTGTGTGTGTGTATCTAATTATTATGTCTGGATGCTTATGTATTATAATCTGATTGTGTTTTTGTTGTGTCACGCGTGAGTTTAAGACCATATTCACAAACTTTAAAATAAAAAACGAAAAGAAAGGAAAAAAAAAAAATATATATACATGTATTATCAAATGACCGGATGTATTGTAGCTTTTGTCTTGTCGAACGTAATTTCAATGAAGAAATGAATTGAATAAACATATATATTTTTTTTTTTTCTCAATAATTTTGTAGTTTTTAAACTTAATAGTGATTAAATTTGGATTTTTTAAAATTGCCAGTTTTTAATTTTAATATTAAATTTTATCATATAAATTTATAATTATTAGTTAGTATAAAAATTTTTTTAATATTACACGTATTTAAAGATCTGAATAGCTATTATAGCAGGATTTCGTTGTCAAGCTTTTGAATCTTTCTATACTTCGTTTTTTGATTGGTTATTCTAGCTTTTGTAACAATGTTTCCCCCTAGTGTAGGATCGTTAATTAATCTGAAACTTTTAAAACCATTTATTTTATTTTCAACATCATCACTTGATAAGACACAGAGTGTGTTGAAACAAAATGGCTATTTTTGTAGTGATTTTATAACATACTTATGTTATAAATTTTTTTTTAAAATATAAAAATAATTATATATATATATATAAGAATATATGTTGGTTATTGGATAAATATACCAATTATATATTTATATATATATATATATATATATATATATATATATATATATATATATATATATATATATATTTGAAAGGGTTATCGTGCACTGTATATATGTACATTTATATAAGTTTTATTATATATTTAATAAATATTTTCTAATTCTCTTCTCTTTCAGATTTCAGATATTGTTCAAGAAAAATGCTATGCTGAAGGTAAGCTTGTCACTCTGGACGAGATGTTAGCAAATCGAGATGGAAATAAAGGCCAAAATATATAAAATATTTTATATACACATAAATGATATTAGCATAGAGAAAGAATAGAAACTTTTACATAGTCTTTTTGAATGAACAACTTACGAATAGTATGTTTTATAACATTTTTTAATTTACAATAGCAAAGAACAATTTTTTTTCTGAGATTTTATTAGAAAAATTTAAAATACTGAATGGATTCATTGTTTCTCTGATAACATTATTTATCATCCACGAAATTTGTTTTGTAATTTCAGGGTTTAATAATCATTGGAATCAAATTTTGCCATTTGATTTGAAGTGGATAAACTATGCCATATTTTTCATTTCTCAAATGTTTTGAATATATATGAAATTCTTTTCATTTTATATAATTTTGAATATATTGGTGTGCATATAAATTATGTTATATATTTCATGTGGTTATGGGGCTGAGTGGTTAGAAACGAAACATTCTGACTATGAGAATCTCACCATGGTCAATTTGTCAGGAAGGAGACTTCCTGATATTATAGGAATGGAGAGGCATCAATCCCAGCATTTATTGGCAAATGAAAAAGCCATACCATAGGTTGATGAGAAGCCTTGTGAATGAAAACTGGATATTGGAAATATTTGGGGCCCATCAAAAGCAATATAAGCATGAAGTGACAAGTCATCATGGATGAGGGATTTATTTGCTGACCTTGTTCAAATTGTTGATCACACTAGATAAGATGCTCTTTCCCAGATTTGTAACTACGGTCTGCTCAGCATAGTTGCAGTATAAACTACAAAATATCCTGCTTTGTTTCAATTGAATAAGAAAAATGTGCATGCAAGCGTATGTAATAGGGATTGACAATGTATATATAGTAGTTTAGGTATCTCGAATATGAGTATATATATATATATATGTTTGTATACATCAGTATTTTTGGGCACAAAAGAGAATCTTCTAAGATAATCAATGATATATTACACTAAAGGTGTTTGTAGAATTTGAAATTGATACACTTTGTCTCAAAGTCTGAAAAAACCAGTAATTGAAGTTAAAATTTATTTTTTAATCAGTAAATATGATGATATTGAAAGTTTTTAACATGGCACAGGCAAATTTGAGTTTTCATAGAAAATCTTTTTCTTAATAGATCAATTCATTTAAATTTGGTATCAAGTGTTTTTTAAGGGGTTATTTAATTAATTGAACACAGACCTTGTCCTTGATTTTCGTATAAAGTTTATCAAAAGGGAATGGATAAACAAATTCCATGTCATTGATTTCTTTATTTTTTTTTAAATCTTCCTTTCTTTTTAATATTGATCCATTTTTTTTTAATATATATATATATATTTAAATATTTTTGATAGTGCAATTGATAAACGAAAAGATATTGAAAGAGAAATTGAACATTTGAAAGAAAGACTACAGTCGTGTCAATTTTTTTGACAGTTCACAGAATGAACTTAAGATAAATGGGACTGTCATCTTTCAGCCATATATTGAGAAATGAGGGATTCAGGACATAATATCAAAACAGCACAGACACAAATTCATCTCTTCCGAGAACAACTGGCATCAATTTTATGATGCTTATTTTATTCATTCATACTAATGATGAAGATATCAAGGAACGATGCAAGTACCTTTGAAACAAAGTACAAATAACATACCAATGTGAGTTTACAAACATACATCTTGTACTTATACATATTATCAAATGACTTTCTTGAAAAAATACTTAATATTTTGTCATTTTCTTTGTTTTCTCTATTCTGATAATTTTCTTTATGTTTTTTTTTACAAGCACTGTCATTGTTGTTAATATTATCCTATTTTTGAAATTTTTACAAAATTTTTTAACATTTTTGCCAGTAAAATCTCCAGCCTTTTTTAACCTTCTAAAAAAAAAATTGATTTTAATTTAAAAAAACAACGATATAATTAAAAAAATAAATTTATTAAAATGGTTATATATATATATATATATATATATAATTCTGAACAGTATTGTTTCTTGTATGACAACTCCTCAGTATGAATAGGCATGAAGATTCTATTGGCCAGCGTGAGAGCCAACAGCTGACTGAAACGAATGTTAACTAGCATGCTTTTATGCAAAAAAAAATCGATAGCTGCATTCGTCACAAAATGAAAAATTTAAATCTAAGAAATGGCACTTTACTCCAATTACCATTCATTATGCTTGCTTAAACTCAACGTTGATTCTGATTCCGCAGAACTGGGTTGGGTGTGAAAAAAAATTTGAATTTAACATTCTTTTTTCATTCAGTTTTTCCAGTTACAAGTATATTTTTTAAAGCTGATCATTTTGTGTTCATTTTGTTTAGTTAATTTTTTCGTAACATTTTCTAACTTGGAGCATGTGCATGTAAATGAAAAACAAATTGTCAAAAAATTGCGGCTGTGCATAAAACACACACACACATCCTGCCTTTTATATATAGAGATATTATTAAGTGTTGTTTTTTTTTTGTTTTTATTAATAAGGTTTCCCATTATTTTTTAGCCTTTTTTTTTTTGCATGAATAGTTGACATTATTATATTTACATTGCCAAAAGTATGTTAAAAATTTTACAAAAAAAAATGAAAAATTATTAAAATACATGATATATGTATATTTTCTGGGGTTTGATATGAAACATACTGAAACCAAAAAATAAGATTCATAGCTTTTTTTCAATGAATGAGCATCTAGACATGAACATGGTCTAAAAAAGTACAGAAATACCTAATTTCTGCAAGTTTTTGATTCCAAACTGACTTCAAAAAAATTTCAAGGATAAATCCAAATAAAGTTGATATATTTTTAGTATTAGATACAATGAGCGGAAAATATATTGAAACCAAACTTATAATTATTAATCACCAAAAGCAAAATATGCATTTTTTTTATTGTATTTGATAAGTAAAAACTATGTAAAAAAAAAGATTATAAAAAAATGGCAACTCAATGAGTAAAATTTGTTAGATCCTAATTAATAAAAAACAAAAATAGATAAAAGTGTATATAACACCATAATACTGCTGAGCTCAAATTATAAGACAAAATGTTTTAAATTTGAATTGTTTATTGAAAAATCACACTAAAACTACTGCACTGTATAACATATTGCATCATAATATAGCTAAATTGTTTTAGTATAATTTCCCTTTGATGGTCCAATGATTTAGTAATAATGTGCTTGTGCTATGCGTCTTGTCCATATACAATTTGTAAAGCTTCAGTAAATTATAAATTTTATAAGGCCGTGCTATAAAGCTTTCACTGATCACTGGAATGAAATTGCAATGCTACAAATTTTGAATCTAAACTTAATCGTCAAATGAGTTTCATCAATAAACGGTAATGATTTGGAAAAAATATGTTCTATCATTATTGATCATGTCAAACCCCAACTTTTTTAAAACTACGCTTCCAAAATCGACCTGTCCTACTGTACAAAACAACAGTTTGCCACATCTGCAATAGATATTCCAATTACTTCCAAGCTTCAAGAGCCATTTTCGTTATCACGAGAACCAAATATATTGATCAAAATTTGACTGCAAAGGTCATACTCATTTAACAAATCAACAGTGATCATATATGTATGCATATGTATGTGCTAAGATCTATTTCATTTGTATCTATCAGTTTATCTCTTTATCTATCTGTTCATATTTGTCTGTATCTATTTTGGCCTTGTTTCTCTCTATATATATATTTGTCTCTCTGTTCTGTGCTGTCTTTCTGTCTCAGCCTGATCTGTCTATCTAATTCTCTGTCTGTCTCTAATCATATCTCTGTATTCAAATCTGTCTCAGCTTTGTCGATTGTTCACTTATTAAGTAGAAAAATTACTTAATAGAACGAATAACATTTTTGACCAACCCAATATCTATCTATCTCATTACTTTCATATCTATCTCAGTCTGTTCATATATATGTATCCATCTCATTCTGTTCATATCTATCTCATTCTGTTCATATCTATCTATTCGTTGTTTGACCAGTCAACTGATCAGCTAGCTATGCTTATTGGAATCTATCTATCTATCGTTGTCTTGGCCTCGTCTATATCTATATATGTCTGTCTGTTTAGTATTTGTCTTTTCTACCTATCTTGGCCTGGTCTATCTGTCTGTCTGTCTGTCTAATTCTCTGTCTCTTTCTCTATTCATATCTCTGTATTCAAATCTGTCTCTGCTTTTATCTATCTATCTCATTCTGTTCATATCTATCTCAGATTAATCTATCTATCTGTCTATTTTACTCAGTTTTATCTATCTATCTATCTATCTATCTATCTATCTATCTATCTGTTTGACTGTCTGCCTGTCTATTCATATCTGTCTATCTCAACCAGTTTTGTCTATCAAAGAATCTCTTTAATTTCCCTCGTTCTTCTCAGCAACTTGAGATCAATGATAAACATATCCGGAAACTTCTCGACCAATTGGAGAATCAGCATAGTCTTCATCAGGAAGCCTTGGAGAAAGTTAAACTTGCAGACTTGCGATGCATTGACATGGAAGAACGTCTTCGTATCAATGAAGGGGAGCTGGCCACTGGTGACATACTACGCTCTGGCTTTAAGTCCGACAAAGAAAAGGTGAGTGCATTATTACTTGTAGAACACAGGTAAATTCCATGGTGATATATTTGTAATTTTGGAATAGAAAACAAATTCAATCATCAATGATAAAAAAAAAATAACATTACAGAATTCTTATAAAGTTAGCAAAAATATTGAAAAAATTGTAATGAGACACACACACATACGCACAACCATATATATATATATAGATACACACACATACGCACATATATATAGATAGATACGCACATATATAGACACACACACACACACATATATATATATATATATATATATATAGATACACACATATATATAGATACACACATATATGTATACGTACATATATAGATACACACATGTATGCATACGTGCATATATAGATACACACATGTATATACATATATAGATACACACACACACATATATAGATACACACACATATATAGATACACACACACACACATATATAGATACACACACACACATATATATAGATACACACACACACACATAGATACACACATAGATACACACACACACACACATAGATACACACATAGATACACACACACACACACACACACATAGATACACACACACACACACACACATATATATATATACACACACACACACACGGCCTGACGATTGCGTCCGGCATGAAAAACTGTCGACTCTAAGAGTTGACTTCAATATCCACTTTTATATTTACACTCGCTCTGTCTCTGACATTCAGTACTTTATCCCATAAATATTGCACACCTTAAGACCATATAAAGGTTTTATATATATATATATATATATATATATATATATATATATATATAATATTAATGTGTGCGTGTCCAATGTTTCAATAGTTTATCTGTAAAAAGACTCTGAATAAAGACAATAGGAATATTTATCTCAGCCGATGCGTTTCGCCAATGATTAATTCCCACGAAGTATGAAACCCCTGGGCTCAAATGAGTTTAAATTTTCTCTGTATTTATATGTATGTGTGTTTGCGTGCCAGAGACTTCAAAATAAAACAAAACTGTTATACTCAACAATATTTTCAAAATCTCTATTATTTTTAAAGTAAGAAACCGAACATATTTATTTATACAATATAATTGCTCTGATCCTTGAGTCCAATTTCGATTCGATCTCAGAAATGACTATATGTCATGATTAAGCAGTTCTGCTCCACTTTGACTATGATGTCCATGAAGGAAACATTCAGCGGCAATGGGAATGCTGATATTAGCCTTTCCATACAGGAAAACATTATGCATGTATTGACTGAAGAGTCGCCGTTATTATTGGTTGAAAATTATGAAATATTCATACAAGAGTTTTTCAGGATAATATCTTACACCTGTCCCTATACCTTGTATAATCCTCCTCTATAGTGAGATATCCTCCTATAGTGAGTGATCTTATTTTTTTATGAGTAACCTGATTCTTTCAAATTGCTTGTGCATAATGCGATGCGAGTAGGCTTACCTTAATCAAATATTTCAGTACTGAGCATCATCCTGGTCATATTTTATAGCTAATTGCCATCATTTTTTTTTATACAAATTTACCCAAAATGGTGAGAAAAAAAACATTTACCGTAAAATATCTGATACGATGATTTAGATACTGTGCTTTTCTTTTCATTCATAACTGGCCACGTTAGCTCATTTACAAACGTAGTATTTTCCCTTTTATAGTTACATGAACAGCAAAATGTCATTCCTTATGGTGATTTTCTAAGCGTATCTTGGATTTGGCACAAGGTTGAAACTATGGGGTACCCAGTGAGGTCCGAACTTACTATTCAGTCTTAAATATTCTATCGAAACCTGTATACTAATTATTATACCACGTGGACGTGCCAATATCTATTTCCTTACGTATGTCAATTAAAATCAACAAATACCTTGCAAAACGGAAGAATTTTGGGTAAATAATGCAGGATGTCCCAAGAGGTACTGTGTAATTGTTGACCTACCAAGTAGTTAAGGTCACGGAAATTGCACGAATTATAATGTCAAAAAAAATTACCGGTGTATATTGCAATCGGTCACAGAAAATGCATAATTTTTAAGCACTTCAAAAATTCTGTATATATTTATATAAGAAAACAAATTAATCGTAAATCTAGCGCTATGCTTGAGTATTTATGGTACTTTTAACACATTGTACAGTGTTCTGGGGAGTTTTATTTCAAACGTTTTGTTTCTGTTGAAATTGAATACCTTTATTATACTTTCTCTTCACATATAATATGCATTTTATTGTTGTTTTTAGAAGTGTCAATGTTATTTAGTTTTAGTTATTTGATAAAGTTACTTTTTGTGATTTTTTTTTAATGTTAATTTTAAGGTTTGACGGATGACTTAATAGTTATATGCATTTGAAGCTATTTTAAATCCTTGATCTGTGACGGCGGTTGTAGGCAATTCTAAACGAGCTGGAAGCCATGCATAATATTGTGGATTTGTTTATTCGTCTGTTTTCCATAACATCTAAAGAGGATTTAAAAACTAGAATGAGGAAGATACATGTTATGAGTAATAATCCTCGGACAACCACGCCTGGGTAACGTGTGCGATCTTGAGTCATGCTAGAAGAGTGTTTAGTAATAAGGTGTTGGTGGAATCATAAATCCTGAATCTCATGAGAAAAAATTATAGGGCATCGACTGACTCTCATTGTCCACAAAAAGTAGGACTAGAACAGACGGCGTGTAATTGGCGTACGTTGCATAAGATACAACCATGGGGTCTGCACAAAGAAAGTTCAATTCCTCTAGTTTATTTGGCTGCTTTCAGTAATCTTTCTATCTCCGAGACCCTCCTGTTGGAAATAGCTAAAAATATAAAAATAATGTTTCATTAACTTTCCCAACGCCGTAAAGTAGAATTTCTGAAATAGTAATAGCTTTTATTGAAGTTTCTATAAATATTTTCATGATCAGTTTTCTCTGTTATATCGACTTTAGGAATTTCAGTACATTATTATATTAGTGGCAAGGTCTCAACATATTATAGTTGAAGTGACTAGACACAACCGTAAGTTCTAAGCTAATGCTTCATTCCCGCTTGTAGGACTCTCTTCCGTCATCTGGCTTTCCAGTTAAATTTGATTTTCAAAAGTTTAAAAACTATTCCAATCTTTATCTTCTGTCTTCGTAATTTCTGCTATTTTATTATTTCTCCTTAACGATGTCTTTTTTTTCTATATTTCTGATATTCTTTCTGCTTTTACGTAAATTCTTACTGATTTTATTGGCTTGTTTTGTGTGAAATGATTTAAAATTGTTCTACGAGAGAATATTTGAGGTGTACGTAATATTATAGTAGATAAACATCCATTTATAGCCGTCTAAAATATGTTCTCAAATACTTGGTACTTCCTGTATATATGCAACACTGTATGCATGAGACTAACAAAGTGAACGAAAGTTAAATATGGTAGGAAATTACGCATTAGATCCCAAATTAACTGAACAAAAGTCTTATGTAATTGGATATTTATAAATTCATATTAGCAAACGTATTTTCCTATTTTGGTTCTTTACTCAATTTCTGTTTCAAGGTGAATCGGTATCAACGGAAATCTTTTTAAGCTTCTCTTGTTTGTTTCAAAGCCTGGAAGCCGATTATAGAATATTCACCTGCTACAAAATCACTTACATTTCTTTCTTTTTATGGTGTAATTTAATACTTACATGCGTTATGACATAATAATATGAAATGTTCATTTTTTATATAAAACTAGAATTATGAATCTCTAAGGAGCTTTCCTTTGGACAGAAAGAAATATTTATTGATAATTTTTCCATTTTGTCAAAACTATTGTTTAGCTCAAATGATCACCAATATGATCATTTACGGAAAATCATTAATGAAATAATGTTTTTTTTTTTTTTTTTTAATTCTTTTAACTGTACACAAGTCTCTATAGATATTTCTCCTCTATAACGATATCGTGATAACTATGTACATATTTTGACACCCTCTCTGATTTTGTATAAAAACTTTATGCTTTCAAGTGTTGCTCACACTATGGAACTTAATAGTTGGATTCAATATTTGTACAATATATCTGATTAGGCATTCGGACATTGAATCCTCTCTACAAGAAAATGTCGATTTTTTTTCATTTCTGATTGTAAACTTTGAACAATTGACGTTTTACAAAAAAAATGTATGAATCAGAAAAGAAACAGAGATTGTCTTTGTTTAGTACTACCTACGTATCTGCAAGATGTGGAATGTTTCCTACTGATTCAATAGATTACATCAACGTAAATAAATTCTTCCAAATCTATATCATTTGAGAGTACCCCATACCAAAATATATACTATACAATAATAAACAAACGCACAGCAAGGGCCATAGCAATAAATATCTCAAAAGCCTTCCACAATGTGTGGCACAAAGGTTTGCTACACTAGCTCTCCAGCTCTGGAATCACTGGAAGGGTTTGCTTTATTATAAAATCTCTCATAACAAGTAGATCACTGAAGGTAGTTATTAACAGCTAATCCTCCGATGACCTGGAGGTCAACAGTGTCGGTCCCCAGGGGTCACTTCTCGGACCAATCTTATTTCTGATTTACATAAATGATGCTGTCCTGGGTGTGATGATAAACGGCATCCGCGTCCTGGGTAAGACGATAAACTACATCCGGCAGCAAGGCATCTAATCAGGAGGTTTTGAGGAGCGTGGAGCCACATCATTTTCTAGTGTTCCAAGGTCGATGCTGACTCTGGTTGGTAGCACCTGTTAGCGACAGTAATATGGGCAAATAGTTAGCCCAAAAACTGGGGTGAAAACCCTATGAAAGTATAAAAATAGGTTTTAATAGCAGCAACTAACATTTAAGCATTACATAGCACATTGAGGTTGATATGCAGTAAAACAAACCAAACCATAAATAATTTACCTAAGAATATACATCCATCATTTGTAAACGTCTATGCCGATGATACGGCGATTTACGAGCTCACCTCTAAAACTTGTGGCGATCAGTGATTGCCAGCTGACCTTTCTTCTGATCTATCACTTCATCCCCAGACTGGATGATTACATTCAATGGCTCTAAAACCAAGCTGGTTACAATCCATCACCGCCGATCTGACACCGAGCTAGCTCTACTTACGATGAACAGTTGTACCCCTGAGGAGGCTCGGTGCATTGAGAGGATATTGGACCGCAAAGTCAAACCCAACCTCAAGGAGAACTCTTGTATTCGATCCATCGCTAAGGATGCAGGTAAAATGATCGGTTCCGTTTACAACTCCAGTAAGAACCTGACTCCGCTAGCTCTTCTCTACCTTTATAAGAGAGAGATCAGGTCGAAAATGGAGCACTGTTCCGTATGTGAACGGGAGCTGCCCAGAGCTCACATACCAATCTTGATAGAGTTCAAAATCGTCGCCGAGTTTTTGTTGGAGAAGTATTTTTTTCCAACCTCCAAACTTTGGCCCACAAGCAGCATATGGCTAGTCTCCCACTGCTGTGTCACCGCTACCATAGAAAGTTTTCGGACAAACTACATTTGTTGGTTCCATCAGGTCTGACTTTCAAGGCTAGGATCCGCCATGCTAGTTACATATTAACAAACCACCCACATTCCCTTCGTATTCCAACGGAGAGAAGTAAGCTAATCAAACAGCTTCTTCCCGCCAACCATTGCTCTATGAAACAGACTCTCAAGAGGATGCTTCTCCAATTACTACAGTCTTCTTATTCAAGTATAGAACAAATCGTTATCTTCCTCTCCTATTCATATAAACCACCACTTAACGTAACCCTCTGCCTCGAGTGGTCCACGGTCCTTATGCAGGTTGAAGCCTAATGTAGAAAATTTTTTGGACTATTTGCTGTTAAAAAGTTAAATGTAAAAGCATCACGTAGAATGATTCAGATTTCATCTATCAATGAAGCCAAAGAGAAATACTTTAAAATACAAAAATAAAACACTAATACATTACCTGGTGGATGAATTAATCTAATGATTGGTATGCAATCATTAGTATCTCATCAGGGAAACTTAATGTAATTGCTTTCTCATTAAACCAAATAATAGTAATAAGAAAATTTAAGAATATAATAACGTAAACTTAAACTCAAGAAGAAACATTGTTGAAGCGTTTACTAATGTCAGTTTGCTTATCCTGTGATGGTTTATAATTCTTTGTTAGATTACTGATGTTTTCCATGCTTGATATACACGTATGGTTACACCTATTATGACAATCAACTGATACCAGAAATTATAGACAACATTGTTCATGTTTTGTTATGAAAGGCGGTTATCGATAATGCTTCAAGTTTTTACACACACGGATGTTTTTTTTTTGTTGTTTCTATTATAATCAATTGCAGATGACATTAAAAGACAAGCGTGATTTAAAGCAAGTTTTTGTTCCTTTCTTATTCTTGAATAACGTTGGAGCTCTCGCCTGACAGAATATCTTAGGGACAAAAAAAATCTCGAAGTCAAGTCTATTCAGCCGCTGATCTGTCTGCTTGAATTGTTTGCTTATATGAATGGTTTGAAGTCTGACATCTCTTGTCGGTTCTTGCTGATATCGATTTTTTTTTCGTGTGGTCAGTCAGTTAACGTCTAGATATCCATCTAATTCTCTCTTTCTTCCTCTCTACCTCTCATATATATATATATATATATTTCTATCCTTCAAACTCTCTATATGACCATATCCTACTTTGTCGGTACTTGCATAATCAGCCAGTCTGTGCCCTGGTAACCTAGCTCCATCAAGTGAGCTACAAATGTAATATAAAAATGCAGGTCCCCTCATCTTAAACACTATATAATCTTCAGTTTTCTATTTCACACTTTCGATCTGACGTCTTCTATCTATATATTGTGGAAAGCTTTGTGTGTATGTTTATCTCGGATCACACAAAAGTACATAGAATATATTTCATATTTTAAGTATCTATCAAGATGTATAAACTTTTTATAAAATTGACAATATTTCAATATCTATCTTTCTATATTTCTTCGTGTCGGCATATAATTATATCATACTTTCTCTTACCAAGCGTTTCATCTAATTTTAGCGACTATGCGACTGGTTTTCTGTGTGTATAATGCTATCCACATATCTCGAGTTGAGACACACTTTTAAATGCCATGTCTCTTCAGTTCGTAGTCATTCCTGCTTTTTCAGAGATTCTATTTTAAATATAAGAGAATTGACATACTTTTTGGGGAAAGAAAATGTAGGCGGTTAAAGTTTTGTCCGCGGTTTGGAATTGGCCTGTTGAGAGTCCAATATAATCTCCTTTTTTAACCAAAATATGGATTTAGATAAGATGGTTCCATAGATTTCATCATGGATATTCTTCCGAAAATCAACGCTAAAAACTAGGCCTGAACTTGAACCCGGTTTTCCGATTGCTGTTACTACGCCTGTAATCCTTGTACTATTAATATAATGAATACATTAGAAATGGAATTTCTGTAGAATCTAAAATAAACATAGTGTAAGTAAGTCAAGAGAAGCATTAGAAGCAGAAACTTACCGCGTTTGCGTGAATGGATAGCAGAACAAGGCGAGGAGCGAAGTTGAAGGTTCAATAACTATTTTGTAATAAAAGATAAGACATATGTTCCACATATATTAGGATATCAGAATGTACATTAAATGTTAATCCAGATACATCATCATGAGTCACGATTATAAAATTCCTAAAAAAATAATCAGATTATATTTGTTTTAAAAGATACATATGTAGATGTCTGTGATTATTGTCAGATTTAAAATATATAGTTAATTGTTTCTGGCACCTTGACGTGGTGTAATGGTTAGCAAGATTGTCTTCCTAGTACAATTACGACTGAGCAGTGAGTTCGATCCTCACTAGGTGTCCCATACTTACGGCCTTGTGCCACATCCAACCTACACTTTGAAAATCATTTTAAGGCAACTCGATTCGGTGTAATGGTTAGCAAGCTTGTCTCGCTAAAACAATTACGACTGAGTAGTGAGTTCGATCCTTACTGGGTGTCCCTTACTTTCGGCCTTGTGCCACATATAAGCTACACTTGGAAAATCTCTATAGATACTTGTTTCTGACATAATTTCCTCTGTGTGGTTTATATGTTTCTTAGCTTTAATATGAAGCTTAAAAGTGAGTTGACGACAGACAGGTAAATCAAGACCAGGGTTTGTATACACGCACAAAAATCAGTGTGCTGTCGAAGCCTACTTGGGAAATATAGGAAGAAATATTAAAAAGGAAATAAAAAAAAAATCAAATTTAAAATATTTATCGAAAGTGACAGTAGAAAATTCCGTACATTACAGGAGGAAGTGAAATTTAAGTTTAATTGCTAAGAGATTTTTCATTCAAACTCTTGTCGATGTTGATTTTATGTTGTCTCCGTTATTTCCTGTTTTGCTCATTGTGGCACCGGAAACTGAGTATGAAGTGTCCCATCTTCATGAATATTTTTAACTTCGTTTCTTCTTCTCATTCGTTTTCCTTTCGTCTTTTTCCCATCCTTTTCTTTTTCTCTCCTTCTTAATCCTTTTCTTTTTCTCTCCTTCTTAATCCTTTTCTTTTTCTCTCCTTCTTAATCCTTTTCTTTTTCTCTCCTTCTTAATCCTTTTCTCCTTAATCCTTTTCTCCTTCTTAATCCTTTTTTTTCTCCTTCCTAATCCTTTTTCTCTTTCTTAATCCTTTTTTCTCCTTAATTTTTTTCTTCTTAATCATTTTCTTTTTTTCAGCACATTAATTCTTTTTTTCTCCTTCTTAATCCTTTTCCTTTCTCCTTATGTTTTCTTTATTTAGTCTCCCTATTTGTTTTCCTTTTATTTAGTCTCCCTATTAGTTTTCCTTTTATTTAGTCTCCCTATTCTTCTTCTTCATGTCCCTTTATTCTTCTTCTTCTTCCTTTCTTTTTCTTCTTCGTCTTCTTTGTTCTTCGTTTTCCTTTCTTCTTCGTTTTCCTTTCATCATCTTCTTCTTCGTTTTCCTGTCTTCTTCTTCTCCTACCCCTCCTTATTTGCTTCCGTTTCTTCTCCTCCTTATTCACCTACTCTTTCTATTCGTGACTTGTCTTTTTTGTTTTATGTGCAGTGTCCCCTTAGGATGTGATCCACCATTATTTCCCACATTTCTCTACCCTTCTAGAATCTCCTTATTATGCACCCTAGGAATTTCAACTGTCTTTCTGATTCTACGTATATGTATCATTTTTGTTTCCTTCTCCCGACATAATTTCCTCGTTGCTCAAATGTTCATTCCGTGTTCTCAGCACACGTCTGTAGAAACATTTCTGTAACTTTAGTCTCTTCATCTGTGAGGAAATTATCCTGCGTTCATTATCATATAGGAGAACTGATAGTACATTAACAGTACAATAGTTTTTCTTTGTTTCTAACGAAATTTTCCTTTTTCTTGACCTTTCGCAGAGAGAAACAGATCAAGACGAAATGATTCTTTGTATGATGTCTGAACGATGAGTACTCAAAGAAACGCAATTATTCTGACCTAAAAGAAACAAAATATACACACTGTTTAATTAACAAGAATTGAAATTAAGAAATTGCAGTGATACCATAATTGGATATTAGACTAATATTATTAGAGTGGTATTATATTTTTGTTGGTTCTGGCGCTGTGCAATGCACAACAAAATTAGACACACACCTACACGCACAAAAACACAAATAAGAAATAAAATAACCTGCAATATACGTTGAAAATATCAGCGAGGGAGCGTTCATTTTGCTCATGGCCCAAGGATAAAAGCTATCCCTCAAGCGCTTTCAACAGTCCGTACCCGAGATGCGTGCTGTCTTTCAATAGGTTTTCTGCTCTCCTGTGAGAACAAAAATTGGAAATGTCCACCAATGTGGGCAGCGAAAAGCCAGTTATTTGCGGCATTTAAATTATGATTTTTACGATTAATTTTGCCAGAAAAAAGGATAGACTGAGTAAACTACGCAGATACACAGATAACACTGTGCGTGTGGCAGCTCAGAAATAAAACTGTAATACTTGCTAGACAAGGTGGTGATAGAATGCTAAAGTAATTTGCTGTTATCTGTAAGATACATAATATATGATCTTCGGCAAGAGGGACATTCCAGAGGTTTGGCATACGAATTGGAATTATCAGAGACAAACAGTTACGGAAATTGAACCACTTATAATAACAGATGAATGAAATATGGAACATAAATGAGAAGGTGAACTGAAACAGTGAATGGAGATAAAAAATGTAAACTAAATATTAAGAAATAATTTCATTATCATTTCACCCCAAACAAGGCAACAAAGCCACTAAGAAGTTTGGTGTGTTAATGAATGTGAAAAATATAAAAAAAAAAAAGAAGACATTATAAAGGAGTAAAATTCATAAAAGTACAGAAATTAAGAAGACAAAAGATAACTATTGACATTGAATTTACAGTTTTGAAAATCAAACTTGACTAGGAAGCAAGAAACCGGAAAATAGTTTACCAAGTGATAAGTGTAGGAAAAAGAAATGATTAGCATAGAACTTATGGTTACATATCGCCTTGAAAAGTAAAATGAAGACATCTTGCTCAAATTCAAAAAAAATCTAGTTGAGGAAGTTTCATGAGGACAATCACTGTGCAAGTATTTATAGAATAGTCACAGAAAAGCTCCGTTACTGAAGCAGAACGTGAATGAAACCAATGCTAGATTAGAACTGTTATACTGCAGGTTCGTTTTTGGATTTTCTCAAGAATCTCTAAATATATAGCAGGAGCAGCAGACCGTAAACGACCAAACACACAAAAATCAAGATCAGAATTTTGAATTATAATTAAAATTTGGCCGTTGGGCTAGATCACGCCTAGCATTTGGTCAGGTGATAAAAGAAGAAAAGACATAGGTGGAATTTCAGGGATAGCAGGCGACTTTCCACACTCTTTGGACAGTGATGGTGAAAGGCACTCAGAAAAAGCAAGAAGTCCCACGTAGAATTCTAAGATGGGATGGGACTCTCCCATATCTGGACATTTGCAGAGAGAGCCCTAATTTCTTCTTTGAGGAGCGCTGGCATGCCCACCTAATCTCTTGCGCATGGGGGAATAAAAAACAGAACGCCGAGCAGATGGGGAGACAGAGATGGCCGAGACACCGCAGACCGACCACGGCAGAGAGATTGCATCGATTGTTTTCATGTGATTTGCCGCCCTAAAGTAAAGACTTGTTCCAACGGTCTCGTTTCTAAATCATAACTGTGTGTCATGATAATTGGAAAGGGTCGATTGTTATTGCATGGAGAGTATCGCCTGCGTAAGCCATCAATGACTGTACCATCAACTTTGTATTTGTGGAATTGCATATAAATATTTCTTTTCTTTTTTATCCACTTATTTTTTCTCTTTTCTGTGACATTACTCTGACCGGACCAAACTAAGTCATCGATTCGAGACAACCATTCGTACTAACCCAGTCTTGTGATCAATTAATCACATAGTGGGGCAAGACAAGACTTGGGCCGAAGCAATCAACTCTGCGATCAGCCGAGGGGATCGAGCTTGAATCCGGAGCGGACAAGGTAGACGTCATATAAACACTTTCAGCAATAATCGTTAAAACATCAGCAGTTGCACTAGGGAAGCGAAAGCCATATTGCTTATCTGACAGAAGAAGTTGCTGGGTGAGATTCATAACTAATTCAGACTTGCTTAGAACCTCTGCTACTTTGCCCAACAAAGATAGAATATTGATAGGCCGATAACGAGAAGGATCAATCGATTCACAAGATTTCTTAAAGACTGGAACTACAAAAATGTTTTCCAGCAAGCAGCGAAGAAAAAAGCAGCATGACATTTAGTATAAAGGTTAGAGTGAACTCGAGGAAGTTCAGGGGCACCTAACTTCAGGTGTATTGCAGGGATACCACCATGCATTGAGGCTATCCAATTTAGAGATGATAGCAGAAACAATGGTCGGAGTTGGAAGCATATCCATCAACAGAGAGTTCTAAGGGGAAAGGCAGGTAAAGGTACTCCAGTTGAGTCAAAGTGTGGAGAGAAGAGGCACAGGAAATTATAATATGAAAACTTTGGTAAAAAAAGTTCAACCACGTCTCCTATATGGCAATTAATACTAGATTTTCTTTTTATGAAGAATTTTTTTCTCATTATTTCCTTTGTATTGTTTACTTGGTGAAGATATATTACATTAATTCAGACAAGGAAAAATTAGTTTCCGACAAACGGAAAATTTAGGATTAGACTTTGAATATATATGCAAAATACAGTATGGAAACTAATACGACTTAATACAGTATGGAAACACGCATAAAGTATTTTTCAAAAGTGAGAGTAGGAGATTCTGAACACTAACGAAGGAAACGAAACTGGGGAATGCACTAATTAGAGATAATTATTTAATGACTTTCTCCGTGGTAAGAGATTTTTCAATCAAATGTTTGTCAAAATTGATAGTGTTTCAAATAAAAGGAATAAGATTAATGGGACTGCTTTGTTTTCCTATGATATGTCTTGACATAAACAAGCGATGAATGTATGTAGACATATATCTAAAGCATTCACAGCTACAGCCCCAGAAATCTGAAACACGGTTTGTGTGAAAACAAACTATAGATTGAAAGTATGAAATTCAACGCTTTGAAGTGACCAAAACAGTTCATGTCTGTAGAATAATCAGCCTTATACACCACATAAAAAAAGTATCAACCGAATTCTAATGAATGCAGTGCGCTGTATTATTAGACCAGAAATCAGATAAAGAACGGTACGGTTCGTCAATTTCTCTGGAAATAAAAAGAAAAGTGATATTTATACTCAGAATAAAATCAGAAATATTAATAAAAATGCAAAAAGAATGTATGTTTATGTCTTATAGATTTTATCAAAATTATTTGTCATAAAGAATGCTTGAACAAATAAGCAAACTTCATTTATTTCCGAAATATATTAGAATAAGGTAGAATGTATACCGCGAGCAAACCACGGATAGAAAATGGAATCAGTAAATACACAAAAACAGTAAGTTTTGTCTTCTCAACTGAGTTATTCAGCCTTTGCAGTGAGGCTATCCTGATAGAATTAGAAATCCTACCAGGATTTATTATTGTCAACCAATGTTAAAAAAAAAAAGAAATATAGATGCAACAGTCTGATTTCAGACAGAGAAGGGAAATTAGAGGAAATCACATAAAAGATAGTAAGGAAAGCAAGAAGGATGAACTAAACATCAATTGTATGAAAACAAAATAAGATAAAAGCACTGGTGGATGTAATCTAATGACTTGAACCGAAGTGTTGGGAGTTCAATAACTGGTTTTTAGCTGATTTGAGTAAACATTCGAAGTTACTAAAGGAAAATAACTGAAGAGATATCCAGAAAAGGCGAGTAAGAAATAAAGATTTCGGTTCGAAATGCCCACATATATCCTACAAAGAAGGCCGGGGCGTGCAACGGCCAAAACGTTGTGAATACAGCAATAAATATCAGAAAAATAATCGAACAATGTCAGTAGTGTAAATAATGACATTACCTCATCAGACAGAAATGTGGTTCTAAAGAAGTATTCTGAGAATGCCACGGAGTACACGTGAGCAAATATGAAGTTCTGCGTTGGAAGGAAACAAAAAACGAGACTCGTATAGAATAATAAAGAGCCAACTTCAATACTGAGGATGCATAATGAGGAAAGACAACTTCTAGAATGAGACATTCTTGGGACTTAATCAAGTCAAGAGGAACAAAAGAAAGCAGAGAATATACTAGCTGACGGAATTTTTAAATGGTTGGCAGAACGGGGATTGGGAGAGATAGCAAAAAGATAAAACTTACAAAGAGCTACAAAGGAGAATATATTGTTGAGAGCAATAACTTTCCTCATCCTGGTGGGATACGACAAATAGAAGCAGTGATGTCGTCTCAATCATCCACATTTAACAATGAAGAACTTAAAAGTTCAAGGCTAATTACTCCACGGTATGGCATTGGATAAATCTGAAGAATTCTTCTTTCGGCGAATGAAATGATGCAAACAACATACATTTGCCTGAACATCTAAGAGTTTAGCGATAACATC